TTTTTTATCTTACACGGCACTGGCTTGCATTTGGTAACTCTACCGCTGCATTTAGTAACTCTACCGCTGCATTTAGTAACATAATTTAATAAATCTATGCATATATTTGTCAAAATATATTTTTAAGTTACAAGATACAATCGTAATCAAAAAATATTTTTTACGGTGAACCATAATTAATATGTATTTAACATAAATATCAAAATTTTTTGAATAGGAGATGTGCATTGTGAATCAATTTTTTAACAGAATGATAAAATAATTATTTATGAAATAAAAATTACAGTCAAAATTGGAAAAACTCTCAATTGTACACGTGTATTTTAAATATGAGATAAATTTTCATTTGTATTAATTTTTGAAATCCAAATAAAAGATACAATACAAATCCAAGAATTTGTTTGGTATTTTGAAAAACAAGTGAAATTTCAAACAAAAAACATAAAATCAACCGTTTTTACGTGATTTTTGAAAATATGTATCGTAAATTGAAAACAAAAAACATTTTATTCACAAGGTTAATTGTGAATCATTCTTCATAATCGAACGAAATAGAGTTGAGGTAAAACAAAGAAAGTGCAGGTGGATCTATCTTATGAAAACTGTAAAAGTCAGAAAAAATTTATAGGTGAAGTGGATTGTTCACGACCTTTAATCATTTTGACCGATTTAGATCGTCCAATCACCGATTTCGTGCATGTGGGTTGTGTTAGTGTATATAATGAATGCTTGACTTTTTTCGTTATTTATAATATTTTTTGTTGAATGAGAATTGCGTTTAACATAATATTTTAGATACTTTTTACATATATATGTTACCCCACATTTTTACTTTATAATTATTTGTTAATATTGTTTACTCTCCTCTTTAATTTATAATCATTACTTAATAATATTTTTTCGTGCATCGCACAGGGTACGCACTAGTTCTATTTAAAGGTCTGATGTAAATCATAAAATAATAAAAAAAAAGTTTCTTCCCTCCATTTTTCCTTCTCATTTTTCTTGTGTTTTTTCTACATTCTTGATAGCTTGTATAATTTATTTTTTCATCACAAACGTTTAATGTAATTATTTATTTTATTTATTTTTTATTATGGCTATTTTATGTATATTTATTTTCATGCTCTCATTTGTTTGAGTGTCAGTTTGACTTTACAAAGGTCGAATGTTTGTATAGTTTGCACGTGATAAAAATTTCACTTGCATCAATATGTTTTGACAATGTGTCTTGTAAAAATATATCCTAATAATATTTTCTAATACTCTAGCACTTGCATCACCACTGTTTCTCTTGGGTTTCATCTCTAGTCTACCCCAGCTTGTTTGGGACTAGAAGACTTTGTTGTTGTTGTTGTAATCACATGAATATGTCATGATTGGTTGATTATGAGTGTCATTCCATCCGAGACGAGTAACTCATGTTTGAGCTTGTGTTCATTTGATAAACGAATATAAAGCTCAATGCGAGTTCGACTCGTTGTGTATTTTATGAAAAGTGCATAACTAAAAAATGAGTAGTTCATGAACAAACTCACTTTACTTTGTTTAGTAAACATGCTCTATTCATTTTAAAAAAGAAATGACCTAGCTTGAGCTTTCACTAGCACAACTGAGTTTTATGAACGAATAAGCGAATAGCTCAGTTTGAATAACAATTTTATGGTTGATTCATAATATTTATTTGTTCATTTTTTACCGTGTAATGTTGCAATTTTTTTTCTTCTAGGACACCAACTGACCTCATAGTAATTATGATGCAAGGTTCATAAACATTTCATGCAAACGTTATAGTTATACAATTAATGAATTAATATATACGTCACAGTAAGTTTTAAAAAGAACATGATGAAAATTTTGATGGAAGTTTTAAAAAGTCTGATAAGATTTCTGTGTAAATCTCAGAATGTTCGCCAAAGTCACTAATGTTTCATAAAATCCACAAAAGTCACTCACTTTAAAAAGTATTTAAAAGCTTCAATTGAATACACCCTGTCACTTATATTATTATAGAGATTACAAAGAATCTGCTCTAAAAGAGGAATTAAAAGAAGTTGGAAAATAACTCTAACCTAACATCATAAGGAAATGAAAAACCAAACAAATAAGCAAAGTTCCCAAGTTGTTAATTAGTTTATCTTGGAACTTCATTCTTTTCAATCTAATAATATTTCCAAGAAGTGCATCACGTTGGCAGTAGAAATTACTAGAATTATGTTGTCAAAAGGATGACATTTTCGTTATGAATTAACTGATAGATACAAGCTCCACTTGTCGTAGAGGTGTCTTAATCAGATGATTAAGCTCCCCATTTAAGACATTTGATGATTTTCTAGTCTTGTTGCGTGCTAGGCCATTATTTTTATTTCTTTCCTTTTTTTTTTTTTTTGATAACTCTCTGAATGTGTCCCACTGAAATCCAGCTGGGAGCAGCTGCGGTTAATTTGGTTTCCGGGGAAAAGCCGGCTGATGTTTACTCAGGAATAGCTGCCAGGTAGTTGCTTCTTTCCATTTTACACCCTACTTTATGCTAATGAATTAGTCTTCGTAGTTGAAAATTAATCTTCATAGTTGAGACTGAAGGCATTTAGGTGGTCATGCTCCTTTTTCATTGTTGTTATCATATCCTTCAACCCCTCTATACCCTCCCTCTCCCTGAAAAAAAAAAGAAATAAAATGAAGTAAGGCAAAAGCATATTAATATGTTTGCAGGCTTATTTTTAGCAGGACTGCCTGCCTTTATTGTTTGCCTAGGAAAGTGAGATCAAATTGGTGCTTGAAATCATTTTCATATATGCGAAGACTTTGATGACTAATTTTATTTTAATATCTGAGAGTGATGTATTCTTTGGAGTTGTACACTGGACAGTTAATAACACAAATGGCTTTACAGATTGAACTTTATAAAGAATTTCTGAATCTTACAATCTTTTGCTGCTTCAAGAAGTCTGATTTAAAAATACGCTTCAGAGTATTTTGCTGAATAATTTTGGTTCACTAATAGATGGAATCTTGGGGTAAACTCCATTATTCACTGTTTGGATACACACACACACACAGACACACATATAAGTATGCATTGTGAACTAGAATCAAAGTAAGTCATTAGCCATGCTTGATACAGGGTTCTTGATATCATGAAGAAAGATGCCCAAAAGGATCCTGCAATATTTTCTGATGCATTGCATGCAAGATTATTAATCAACCAGGTTGGACGCCGCTACTTGACAGTTAATTGTCCTGTCGTATAATTTTTTTAAGCATGTTTTTTATCCTTCACAATAAAAGTTGATCAGTTAATTGATCGTTGATTAGATACTAGATAGCAAAGACCATTATGAGGTTTTGTTGGTAAGATCATTTTATTTATTCTTAACTTTTAGAAACAGGCCTCTGTTAATCCTACTTTTGGCAGTTACTATATAGCATAGAATATGTTAATCTCTGGTTCTTGTTATTAATCTGTCTATATACTTGAATACTTACCTTGGTATGTGAGATACATACGGTGTGTTTACTTTTTCTTTATTAGCATTAGAATTTATTTTGGTTAATCTGATACTTCAATTTCTCTGTAAATTCCCTGTTCATTTTCTTTAGTCTTTCATCTATTCCTATTTATCCATTTATTTATTTGTGTGCTGGTCTGTCTTTTAGTTTATCGCCGTCGTGCTCTTTTTTTAGTTCTGATTACGTTGCAATGATGTTCAGGTGGACCGGCAGCTGGTGAAGCAGACTGTCATGACATCAGTGTATGGTGTGACGTTCATTGGTGCTCGAGATCAGATAATGAGAAGGATAAAAGAACGTGACTGCATTGTGGATGATGCAGAGGTCTTTGGCGCAGCTTGTTATGCAGCTAAAGTATGGGATTGCTTTGGGCATGCTACTCCATTTTGATATTCTTGAATTATGTTTATATGCACAAGATGGTTGTTGTTATTATTTAGGTAGTTAATTATTTTTCTTGGTGAATATTTCATGCTTCCTATCTCTTTGGACAAATGCTTATTGATAAAATGACATTATCGTTCTTGTAGGACTCATAGGGGTATATCGATTAGAAGTGGAGTTGCACTAAGAATAATTGAGGCTTTAGCTGTCGAAGCATTTTTATTTGTCTCATCTTTAAAGGCATTAACATATACTTATGCGCCTAATTGCACAACATATTGTTGGTTTCAAGATCCACGTTGAACTAATGCGATCCTGACATTTTTTCTGGTGGGCATGGCATGTATAATTTGGAACATACACAATTTATTAAAAATTAATGGAAAGTCGGATGCAGTAGTCTTGTTCACACCAATTTTATTGTGCATCGCTCAATGAGTTAATTCGAAATCACATTTTTTGCTGCTGAACAGGTTACACTGGCTGCCCTAGAGCAGATGTTTGAAGCTGCTCGGGGCATGATGGGCTGGCTTGGAGATTGTGCAAAGGTGAGTTCTGTAGTCGACATGAATATTCTGAATATGTAAATACTCTTTATTGTTGTTGCTTGAATATTAAATATTCAATTGAATATTGGAAGTAAAAAAAAAGGATGACCAAAAGCAATCATAGAACCTGGCTGTTTCTCATGGTACTTTCTGATACTATAATATTGAATTATTAATGCCTTGGTAAATACTGCTGTCGATCTTTTTCAGTTATATGATGGTAAATAGGACTATACTCAAGACGAATGGGGACAAACCCACAAACTTTGTAATTAATTGGATTCTGATCGTTTTTAGGTTTGCATTTAGTTGACTGCATATTTCTTAACAGATAATTGCAATGGAAAACGAACCTGTTCGTTGGACAACTCCACTTGGGCTCCCTGTTGTTCAGCCTTACCGTAAAGTGGGAAAGCATCTTGTGAGTGTCACTGATTTTTTTTTTCTTTCTTTTTTTCTGGATAAGGATTGTTATGGAATACTGTCAGATATAGTGTGTGTGTGTGTGTGTGTATCATTTTCATAATAATACAAATGATGGGCCTCGTACTTTTGTGCAGATTAAAACTTCTCTTCAGGTTTTGACTCTGCAGCGTGATTTGGATAAGGTTAGTTTGCAAACCTCGAGTGTCCTTTCCTTTGTTTATTTATCTAAACGTATACTGGGTTGCCTGTTGAACATAATCAAATACATGCACATCAAAGGATGACCTTTAGTGAAACTCTTATCTAAGCGACGAAGGTGACAAGACATGCTTAAAGCTGTTCTTTCGGAGTTACATCTCTCTTGAGCTAAATGCAATTTTACAACCATATGAGTTTACAACCTTAACTTCTGAAAGATAAAGCTCCATTAAACTGTTTAGCTGATTACAAAAACCAGTCTTGATGTATAAACAGAAAAAGTACACTTGATCATTTGAAACTACAATTGCCAACTTGAGGTTTGTGTTCATTAGATTACTACTTTCAAAGAGATGATGTCAAACTCAAACACCTGTCAAGAAATATCTGTAATTTTGAAGTGGTTACCCTTTCTTATTTTTATTTTTTAATTAGCCAAACCTCAAGGGGTGGTACGTTAATAGATTATAGATGATTTAATGTATTAAGCCACTTGACATAGAATGAAGTTGCCTGTATTCTGCTTCATAATTTATTTTTCTTACCTGTTTTAGGTAATTGTTAGGAGGCAGAGAACAGCCTTTCCGCCAAACTTTGTCCATTCCCTTGATGGCTCACACATGATGTTGACTGCAATTGCCTGCAAGAAGGCAGGCTTGAATTTTGCAGGTCTTTTCTCTTTATAGCAAGTTCCAAACTTCACAACCTAAAACCCTTGACCATTTGAACAACCTTGTTTCTCATCTAATTACAGGTGTTCATGATTCATATTGGACCCACGCATGTGATGTCGATGAAATGAACAGGATACTAAGAGAAAAATTTGTCGAATTATATGAAAAGCCAATTCTAGAGAATGTAAGTGTTCGTTGTGGACTGCCTCCCTTCCGAATAGTTAACTTAATTACCACCAGAAGCTAAAGAAAAAAAAAAAATTACTTTTCAGACTTAACAAATATCCCTTGCTATGTTTTTACTTGCAAATTGTGCTGCACTAATAATAATAAATTAAACTCATTTGTCAGAAAACATTTGTTGAAGTTTGGGTAAACCAGAAAATTGACCAAATCTTTGCAATTTTATTTTAATTTCAGTTCAAGTCTGACAAGAAGGGGTAGTTGTATGTGTATTTATATAACTCCGTATGTGAAACAGTTGTTGGAGGGCTTTCAGAGGTCCTTTCCTACATTGTCTTTCCCTCCTTTGCCCGACCGAGGGGACTTCGACCTTAGAGATGTGTTGCAGTCTCCTTATTTCTTCAACTAAATGGGCTCTGAAGATGTGGCATAATAAATGTCTATTTTGTGCTTTCACAATCTCTCGATATGGCTCCACTGGCCATTCCGGAACAAATGCAGAGGTAAATGAGCTTCATCTCAAATCGACAATGGGGATTTGGATTGGGTTCTCTTATGTACATATAGGCGGAAGACGCTTCTTTCCTGATGCATGGTCCCTCTTAGTTCATTCTTTGACTTGGAAGCTCAAGAATCTTGTACTGGAGAGGGATTCTATTTGAGCCTGAGGACATATTTATAAAGCTTTTTGCGCATATAATATGGCGTCACCATCTTAACCAGTCTGAGACTAAAGTACAAACACTCAATATGCTGGGCATGGGCTGTTGCCACAAGGAAATAACTTCAAAGTATAACAAGGCAGGAATTAATTTGAGGGTGTCTTGATGGACTGCAATTGTTGTATCTTATCTTCTTTAAGAAGTGCTGAAGATGTTAAAGAGCAAAAATTGTGTAGAAAAAGAAATACATAAATTACATTCAAATCTCATTTTATTTGTATTAAACGGAACTTTTTCATTTCAATTAATATACCAACATTTACAGTTTATCAATGGCTCACGTAAGTTTTATTTTGATTTGTAGATTTTCGTTAATTTGTAGAAGAGAACTATTATGTATGATGTGGTGTTAGTTTCTATGAAGAACGTCAACGATATGAACATCTGAACTATTATGTATGATGTGGTGTTAATTTGTAGAAGAGAACTATTATGTATGATGTGGTGTTAGTTTCTATGAAGAACGTCATCGACTTTGAGACATTGTAGGAGATCGTCTGATTCACACAGTCCGTTGGGCAGCCGTGCTCCTCGGTTCATCATTGTTTTTTGGATGTCGGTCGTAAGCTGTTGGGTCGCGATCGGGTCATCGGGGATGCAGGGGTTTGCACGTCAGACGTTGTTCGCGTACAGGACGTGTCGGGCATTGTCGAAGTCTTCGCGGGTTTGCGCGTCTGCGTCAGAGGATCTCGCAGGTTTGCTCGGGCGTAGGGCACTGGAGCGTCGCAGTCGCATGAGGTGTCGCGTGCATGCACGTTGTTGGGTGGAGCGCGGGTCTAGTGGGTTGGGAGCAAGAGCATCGCGATCGGGGCTCGTGAATCTCGGATGGGCTCGTCGAGAGTTGTGCGACTGGGACGTCGCGGGGATTTGTTGCGGCTGGCTGTGGGCTGCTTATCGCGGTTTTTCCGGTGGCCGATGGGTGCAAGGAATATTTTTCTGGTGATAATTAATTCGATGGGAAAAATTATGGGTGTTATCAACTGTATGTTGTACAAAACTTGTCACAAATCCCATCATTTTAAGTAAACGAGGCCTATACATACAAGAAACAAGGTCAAAAATAAATAAATAACAAGCACTTAGAGAACAACTTTATTAGAAAATAGATGTCCTCATCTATCACAATGTAAGAGGACTCTTTGTGCTATTTTCTTGGCATCTAGTTTACATAACACCTTGTTCCACTTCAATCTCTTGGTCTTCTCCAAAATCAGCAAACGTGAGTTCAAATTTTCAAATTCAAGACTTCGGGGAGAGGTCGAGAAAATCTATCAGTGAGGGGCCAAGTAAACGAGTCGAGAGATATTAAAATGAGGTCGACATTGCAAAATGAGGAGCAAAGGAATACAATCTAGCAATCAAGGTCCGACCTAAATGTGGTGTTAGTTCGTTCGGCCCTCTACCTCATTGGAAGGCATTCGGTATTCTACTTCAGTGGCAGGTCATTCGGTTCCCTACCTTAGTGACAGTTCATTCAGCTTTCTACCTCATTGGCAGGTCATTCGGTATTTGACCTCATTGGAAGGTCTTTCGATTTTTTAAATCAGTGGCAGGTCATTCGGTTTTCTACCTTATTGGCATGTCATTCGGTGTTCCACCTCATTGGAAGGTCTTTCGGTTTTTTTTACCTCAATTGCAGGTCATTCGATTTTTTACCTCAATTGCAGGTCATTCAGTTTTCTACCTCATTGGTAGGTCATTCGGTATTCGACATCATCGGAAGGTCCTTTGTTTTCGACCTCATCGACATGTCATTCGTTATTCTACCTCAGTGGCAGGTCATTTGGTTTTCTACCTCAGTGGCAGGTCATTCGGTATTCGACCTCATCGGCAGGTCATTCGGTATTCTACCCAGTGACAAGTCATTTGGTTCTCTACCTCAGTGGTAGGTTATTTGGTTCTCTACCTCAGTGACATGTCATTCGGTTTTCTACCTCATTGGCAGGTCATTCGGTATTCTACCTCAGTGACAAGTCATTTGGTTCGCTACCTTAGTGGTAGGTTATTTGGTTCTCTATCTTAGTGACAGTTCATTCAATTTTCTACCTCATTGGCAGGTCCTTTGATAGTCGACCTCATTGGAAGATCTTTCGCTTTTCGACTTAAGTGGCAAGTCATTCAATTTTCTACCTCAACGGCAAGTCATTCGAGATTTGGCATCATTGAAAGGTCATCCGATTTTCGACCTCATTCGAGATTTTAAGTAAACGAGGCCTGTACATACAAGAAACAAGGTCAAAATAAATACATAACAAGCACTTGGAATACAACTTTATTAAAAAATAGATGTCCTCAGATATCACAATGTAAGAGGACTCTCTGTGCTATTTCCTTGGCATCTAGTTTACATAACACCTTGTTCCACTTCAATCTCTTGGTCTTCTCCAAAATCAACAAACGTGAGTTTAAATTTTCAAATTCAAGACTTCAGGGAGAGGTCGAGAAAATCTATCAGTGAGGGTCCAAGTAACCGGGTTGAGAGATATCAAAAGGAGGTCGACATTGCAAAATGAGGAGCAAAGGAATCTAATCTAGCAATCAGGGTCCGACCTAAATGTGGTGTCAGTTCGTTCGGACCTTTACCTCATTGGAAGGCATTCGTTATTCTACTTCAATGGCAGGTCAGTCGGTTCCCTAACTCAGTGACAATTTGTTCAGCTTTCTACCTCATTGGCAGGTCATTCGGTATTCAACCTCATTGGAAAGTCTTTTGATTTTTTACATCAGTGGCAGGTCATTCGGTTTTCTAACTCATTGGCATGTCATTCGGTGTTCGACCTCATTGGAAGGTCTTTCGGTTTTTTACCTCCATTGCAGGTCATTCGGTTTTCTACCTCATTGGTAGGTCATTCGGTATTCGACATCATTGGAAGGTCCTTCTGTTTTTTACCTCATCGACATGTCAATCCTTATTCTACCTCAATGGCTGGTATTCGATTTTCTACCTTAGTGGCAGGTCATTTGGTATTCGACCTCATCGGCAGGTCATTCGGTATTCTACCTCAGTGAAAAGTCATTTGGTTCACTACCTCAGTGGTAGGTTAATTGGTTCTCTACCTCATTGGCAGGTCATTCGGTATTCTACCTCAGTGACAAGTCATTTGGTTCGCTACCTCAGTTGTATGTTATTTGGTTCTCTATCTTAGTGACAGTTCATTCGGTTTTCTACCTCATTGGCAGGTCATTCGATATTCGACCTCGCTGGAAGATCTTTCGATTTTTAACTTAAGTGGCAAGTCATTCAGTTTTCTACCTCATTGGCAAGTCATTCGAGATTTGACATCCATGAAAGGTCATCCAATTTTTGACCTCATCGGCAGGTCATTCGGTATTCTACCTCATCGGCAGGTCATCCGGTATTCTACCTCAGTGGCAGGTCATTAAGTGTTCTACCTTAGTGGCAGGTCATTAGATTCTCTAGCTCAGTAGCAGGTCATTCGATTTTCTACCTCATTGACAGGTCATTGGGTATTCGACCTTATCGACAGGTCATTCGGTATTCTACCTCATTGGCTGGTCGTTTGATTCTCTACCTTATTGAAAGGTCCTTCGGTATTCGACCTCATTGGGTGGTGATTCGATTTTTTACCTTTGTGGCAGGTCATTCGATTGTCTACCTCATTGGCAAGTCATTCGGTGGTAACTCAGGATATTTGGTGTTCATTAGATTCACTTGATGGTCACGCAGGGTTATTCGAAAGTCATGTGGTTCATGTAATATTCATTTGGTGACCATGCACTGGTCGAGGATTTATTCAAGTTATAACCTGAGTGGCAGGTTGAGGGTTTATTCAACCTTCAAAAGTCTAGTTCTGGCGGGAGATCGCAGTATACATCCCAACCAGATTCTCAAGGGGAAAAACAGATTGACGGAGATAGCCAGAAGACGCGTTTCACTCTTGGATCGAGTTATTCTTACTCGACTAGAGTGAGAGGAGAGGACCAGATGATATAGAATATCATACTAGACCGGTTTTACTCGAGAAATTGGTCGTACAAGACCAAATAGATAAGAAGGAATTAACTAGGGAATAAACCTGCACATGGGCTAGGATACATGTCATAATAGTATTTGCTCAAGCCAAACTTGAGCGCTAAGGCACACCTCCCCTATAAAATGGGCTTAAGGTATCACAAAAATACATTCTCTCTATATTCACTATTATACTCTCATATTGCACTTTATCTCAGACAAGTGCTGACTTAGGCCCCAAAGGCTCGATGTCTGGACCCCTCTCAGCGTTGAGTTTTTGCAGGTATATAGGTCGTCCGAGTTGAAAGAGCCTGGGTGAAGTCCATTTCACTATTACATCTAACTGCGAGTAAAGTAGCTTACACTATAGTTGTTGTCACCTCCCTAGAAGTACTCCAATCCATATGATGATTTCCATTGTACATTGCATTTTCACCCGTAGAAATTAATTTTGCCTTATACTTTTGTAATTTATAATGGCCTCTTGTGGAAATTAGATTCAATAGTTAAATTAAAGTTAGACATTAGTTAAAGCCTTATACTTTTGTAATTTTCAGAATAAATGGCTACACGTATTGTTATTTGTACAACTATATGCGTCTACTTTTTTTCAACATTAACCATCATCCACTTGATGCTCCCAAGAAAGCAATGGATAACATCATAAACAACATTAATTTTTATAATAATAATATATGATTTAAATGTATTGTT